CACTCTCTCTCTCTCTCTCTTGCCCTCCCCCCCACCGGCTCCGCCCCCAAGGCCGCGCGGCTTGGAAGCCATGCGGGCCTCGGCTCCGTCTCTTTCCGGCTCTCTCCCCCCACACATACCGGCTCCGAGGCACCTCGCACTCTCTATCTCCCTACCCCCCGGCTCCGGCGGCGGCAACGACGTTCCAGAGCGTCCCCTGCGCACGCGCAGGAGAAGCTCTGTGACTTTCGGGGGGAATTTAAACATCCCCCCGATTTTTTCCCCAAAGGTTTCGCATTTTTGTGCACCCCTGGGGACTGCCCCAAGAGTGCACAAAAATCTCCCTGCCCCCCAAGTCGCCCCGGAGCGCGGATTTAGCGATCCGCACTCACGGGGCAACTTGGCTATTAGTATAAGGATAGTACTTAGAAGAGCTGTGATTGGCTGTGGATACGCATGGTGGGAGGACTTCAGTGCAATGAGAGTTTTTATTCTTCTACTTGCTTCTTCATTGGTGTAATATGCCAACAGCTGAGACAGGAAGTGGGCAGAGCAGCCCTACCAGCTAAATACCACTTCTTCTGAGTACACTTCTGATACTGCCCATTTCTGGCCCCTGCACCGGTCTAGCTCTGGTAGGTTTATATTGGTGCAGCCATCAGTATGGCACTATGTCATCACAGGAACTTAGAATTGTGTCCTTAATCTTGTAGAACAGTTAATTTAAAACTGTAAGGAAAGAGATGAAATAGCTTCTTTATTTACGGTTTGTAGTGAATTTATAATCATCTATAGACTATAGCCAGTTTGGTGTAGGGGTTAAGTGTGCAGACTCTAATCTGGGAGAACTGGGTTTGATTCCCCACTCCTTCACTTGCAGCTGCTGGATGACCTTGGGCAAGGAAAGAGCTCTCTCAGCCCTCCCTACCTCACAGGATGTCTGTTGTGGGGAGGGAAAGGGAAAGGAGTTTGTAAGCCGCGCTGAGACTCTGAGTGAAGGGCGGGGTATAAATCCAATCCATTCTTCTTCTTCTCCTCCTTCTTCTATCCGGGGGTATAAATCCAATCCATTCTTCTTCTCCTTCTTCTTCTATCTGGAAATGATTTTGCTTATAGGGAAATATTTCTTGGAATGGCTATACACAGTTCAAATTTGGTTGTGGTTGAGAAAATTAAGTTTCCAGATTGTCTGCAATGAATATATCTGTTTTATTTGTATAGTGTTGTGATTGATCATTAAAATGTTTCTGTCTAGGTAGCACTGGTGCAGTGGACAGAGAGTGTTGGCCTTACTTTGGTCAACAGGGATCTTACTTCAATGCAGCTGAAGACCCCCAGTGGTCAGATTCTGACATACTACATTCTGCAGATTTTCCCCTTCACATCTGAGAGCAAGCGGATGGGAATCATAGTGAGAGTATGTTTTGTTAATATTTTGCATCTTGGTCCTAATTTGCAGCTTGTGTGTTACAAAAGTGTGCTAATTTGTAGATGTGCAGGATCTTTCAAATACAAAAGTTGGCAAACTGTATTAATAATGCCAGTATGTCCTCATATACTGGGGGTTGGATCCTACCTTCTGTGAGCAGAAGGAGCTTAAAGAAATGGATCTTCCCCACTTTTCCCTTCTCCTACAGTCCCCTGGGTTCTCCCAAACTTTCTGCAGATGGGTGGAGACGCTCTTTTGAGATATACATTTGAGTGATGATTTAAAAACAATCTATGTAATAATATGGCTGAAATATTTGGGGGACAGTGAGTGCAGCACCCGCATGACAAAGATTGTGTTCTCTCCCCCCCCCACACACACACACAAACCTGTACACACCTTTACATGCTTGTATAGACAGGGCAGTGAAGTGGGGTGTGGTTGGTGCTCGTACATGCTTTCTCTATCCACACTCAACTCTTCTTTGTGTTCCGCGAATTAGTCATGAGTAAGAGAAATTTTAGTTGGGCAGAGAGGGAGGGCTGGAGAATGCAGAGCTCAACTACCGTTCCTTCTAAGGTCTCATTTTGCCATCTGCATACATGCTCGCATGTGCCTGTAAGTGAAGAAAGGAAGGGGAACAGGGTGCTCTTGGGCCTTATTGGGGTTTTTCTTATTGAGCTACTGTTATCTGTAGTGTGAGCGGACAATGTATGTGCTCACACATACCATAAAGACATAAAAATGAGTCCATGTGTATACACACTTTCTTTTTTGAATGCAGGATGAATCTACAGGTGAAATCACATTTTACATGAAAGGTGCAGATGTCGCCATGTCCTCTATCGTTCAGTATAACGACTGGCTAGAAGAGGAGGTAAGAAAGTTTAATGATAACTGTTTCTGCCATTTGACATAAAGAAATGATGTAAAACTGCACCATTTTTCACAGACAAAAGGCAAAAAACCATTCTCTTCCTTAAAACAGATTTTATTGGGCAAGATTTAAAAATGGAAAGCATGATCCGAAGTAGTAATGGATTGAAAAATGCAATTAAGTGCATCATTAATAGGTTTCAAGGAGTTGGCAATGTTTTCCAGATTTTACATAATAGTAAAAGAAAAGGAAAGTGATCTGTCTAATTGAATAACAGAGTGATTGACTTGGGGGGAGGGACTTCTTTTTTTAAAATATTTTATTAGTCAATAGTACAGTAAACAACAATGGGATTTGGTATAAATATGACCAACACAAAATTACATATAATAAAATACTGCAACATACTGAGAAGGAACAGCAAATTTAGAGGTGTCATTATTGAAGACATATTCTAAAAAAGGAGACCATTTCGTGCATAAAGTAGATTTTGAACATGAACTATTAGTAGAGGAAGCCACTGCATCAGAGAGTTTATCCATGATGTAAAAGTCCCAGATTTTTAAGCGCCAAGAGGAAAGAAGAAGTTTGTCGGTGGATTTCCAGCTACTCGCAATAACCACCTTAGCAGCTATTAGCAGAGTCGAAATGAGGTCTTGGCTGCATTTGGGTATATGAGGGGCATTCCATAAATCGAGTAATATTAGTTCAGGTCGCAGTGGTATCGAGTGCCCGGTTATATTTTTGATGGAAAAGATAACCTTGGACCAGAAATGCTGAATTTCTGTGCACCCCCACCAACAATGAAAAAAAGTGCCAGGTTCCCCGCAGGAGCGCCAACAAAGAGGGGAATTGGCTTTGGATATCTGATGGAGTCTCATGGGGGTGAGGTACCATCTGGTAAGGATCTTATAACTCTGCAACTGAATGTTCAAAGATTTGGATTGCAAAGATGGTGAGGACCAAATATCGACCCAGTCTGCTGGCAATAGTATGTTATCACAGTCTTTTGATGTGCTGGATATTATTGGGAGGGGGTGTAATACCACACTATTACCCAGAGTTTCGCAACCTTTGGGACTGGCTGGGGTGGGGGCACAGGAGTTGGAGCACATTATAGTTAACAAACATTTGTTCTCATAGTTCTCTGTATTCAAGTCATAGTCCATGATCCAAACAGTTTCTCTAGGCACACTCAAGCACACGGGATTTTTCTTACTTTAAACAGAAGATATAACTGAAAATTAATCTAATTTTAACGTTACGTGTCTTTGGTTTTTTAAGTAAGAGAAGATATGAATAAATATGTCTTCACAAACTGGACTAAATATGTTGTACTGCATTGTTGTTCTAGACACCAGCAATTGTCTTAATTTGACCTTACATATAGACAATATGGTAATGTGATGATCACACAATGCATGTTCATAATGGTATTGGCAATATAAATCAATACCTGCTTCAGGCAGTTTGATTTAATCAGGGACATGAATAAATTAAATTCCCTGAAGACCTAATAAAGTGTCATAAAAATTACTTTTGCGATAATGATGCACAATTAATTGTAAAATACTTGCTTAATTTATTTAGCATTATGAGGTCAAATCAATAAGTATTTTGCACTAGACAGACAGCATTCTTTTTTAAAGAATCATGAACATAGCTATTTTATATTACTTCCAATGCTGGTGTTTTAATTAACAAAATACGTTTACTGTCAGATCATATTTATGCCATACTAGTTGTTGGCTTGTTGCACATGTACATATCAGCCTTTAAAGCTGATTTCAAAATGCAAAAACAAAATTAAGATGAAACACATGGATAGTTAAGAGGCATGTGAAAAATACAACGAATCACAGGATTTTGTTTTCCTTAAAGTCAGAAGTTTAATTGTTCTGAGTGAGAGTGTACTGAAAATAGAACACCTTAATCCAATTATTGTAGTGTGTATCTTTTCCATGAACACTTTGTTCGAGACTGAGTTTAAATGTTTCACACATGCATGGCCCGCAAAAGAGAGAGAAGCTTCCCACAGAACCATGAAGAGCTCATGACTGGGGTTTAATCATGGCTCCCTAGCTTCTCCCAGTCCTGTGTTTTCATGTGTCCCTGACTGGGACGGAAGGGAGGGAGATGTTTTATAATATTGCTCTGTAATGGCAGTTGATCCCCCTGTTTGTGAAAGAGTGAGAAGGCTGATCATTTGCATCCAGGATTTCGTATAGTAACATTTATTTGCCTTTAAAAAAAAAAAAATTGGAGCTTTTCCAAAGTCTACCCCACCAACTGCTTCACTCCATTGGCTGTTGCTTTGGGGAATTTACAACATGGTAAAGACACATTACACACTTTGTCGTGCTAAACATTACCATGGCGAATAGCTGAGACAGGGCTCTTGCACATTAATTGCTCACTTGTGGTCTTAAAGGCATAGCTGTATTGTATGTATGAGACATAGCTGTATTATTGCTCTTTATTGTATTTCATCCTTTTAGTGTGGGAATATGGCAAGAGAAGGACTACGCACGCTGGTGGTTGCCAAAAAATCATTAACAGAAGAACAGTACCAAGATTTTGAGGTATGAAATTTAGAAAAAGAAAAACACCACATTGTACTGATTCAGCTTGCATCTAAGTAATGCAGAACACATGAAGAAAAGTACTGTTTAAGAAGCTGTTTCTGTGAATGTCACATATAACCTCTGTTTAATGTACACAATTGATAGGCTAGGTCTTCCATGCTTTCTTCAGACCTGGCTTGATTTTTTTCCAAGCTGTTTTGGAGAAGTCTCTGAAAAACCTTGGGATCCTTACAGGAATTATTCAGAAAGATCCCAAGCCCTAGGTCACCCACCCTTTCCCACTTATTATGCAGGAGAATAAAAATTGGGGGTGTGTGTTAATGATGGAAGCCTGATTTTTAGGGTCTCCGTCTTCATGGAGAAAAATGGAAACATCAAAACCACGCAGCTCCCAGGGTTCCTGTCAGCCATGATGCCTTCAGAATGTAGTTACTGCTGCCACAGTGTCTCCCCTACACCATTTTTTCTTGTTACAGGATTAAGGTTGGAAAAGCTGAGCCCATTACAAGCCAGATCCAAAACTTCAGTTGGATGTTGAGCTCAGTTCACAATTGGTTGCGATAGAAAAAGTGGCTTTGCGACCTCACCAGCCATTACGCTTCTCGCAAATCTAATATCTCACCTAACCTGTCTGGAATCAAAGGGTTGATTTGCATTCAGAGATGAGCGACAGCCAGCATAACTACTTTCTGGAAAACAGCTGAGTGACAGTGCAAGGAAGTGGTGGTCACATTTTCTAAGATTTCAGCCAAACATAAACACTGCTTATTATTAGAAATCTCTAGATAACATTATCCTACTCATTTCCACAATTTTGGTGATTATTTTGCTGGCATAGTGAGAATAGGGGAACAAGGCAGGAATTTGAGGGCAAAGGCTCAGGGCAAAGGCTATAGTCCCCAGTCTCCCTCTCCACATGTTCAGTCAAGACACAGAGGGGTCATGTGTAGAGGGCCACTGGTGTTCTTCTGTGTTCCTAAGGGAAATGGACAGATGAAAAGTGGTTGGTTCCTGAAAGTCTTTCCCACTCAGTTTTCAGGTGGCACCCTCTTCACCCATGCTGACGAAGCATCTCTAAAAGATGAGCCAGATGGGCATACGTGTAGAGATGTAACACATCATTGTATAAGATCTATTAGTCTTAAGGTGCCGTGGCATTCATCACTTTGTCTAGTGCAAACCAGCTCTGCTACTTCTTGGGAAACTGTTAAGGTAGTCTTTACCTCAGATGCTCTCGCTTCATTGTTATCAAGCTGTGGACATCCCAAGCAAGAAAAGCCTGAGAACTTATTTTTTACCCTGCCTTGCCAAGGCTCTACTGCCTGTTCCACTGATACAAGTGTTTTGCCCAGTCCTTTTCTAACCATTTATGGTTTAACACATAATTGTTAACAAGTACCGAAGTTGTCAAAATCTTTCCTCTCTATATAGCAGCCTGCAAAATAAGATTTCACTGTGTCTTTTTGTAAACAGAACAGATACAACCAAGCAAAATTAAGTATACATGACAGAGCCCTCAAGGTGGCTGCAGTTGTGGAGAGTTTAGAAAGAGAAATGGAATTGCTCTGCCTCACTGGAGTTGAAGATCAACTACAGGCTGACGTGAGGCCAACTCTGGAGATGCTGCGAAATGCTGGAATAAAGGTACTTATTCAGTTATAGACTGTTAACGCCTTTTAGTTTATTTTCTTTACATGGTGGATTCATTTCCATAGATAACTGAGGATCCAGTAGTAATGAATTTGATTAATTTAAAAGAAAATAAAAGCAGGAGCTTGGTTCAGCTCTGTCACAGCTGTGTTGTCATTTTGGGAGACATTGGAATGTAACAGCAATAGTCAGCTTTCCCCCCCCCCCATTTAAATACATACAAACTGTATGTCAGTGTTGTTTTACCTGTTCCACATATGGAGCCCCAAAATGTTCTTTCCCCTGTGAAAACATTCCACATACAGCCTAATTTGCTTGTAAAATGGTCATCACATGAAAACATCTCCCAAAGCTTAGATGGGAACTCCAAGAGACTCTGGTTAGGCAGATAGTAATGTTTAGGCACAGTTCAAAGCTTGAGAGTTTCAAACCTTTACTTTAGTGCTCATCTCAGGCGTGAATTCACTGGAAGTCCTTAGGAAAGCTACTACTGAATCCATACAAGCACTATATGGATAATAAAATTGACTTCCATACCTGGATGCTATGTGGGTCAGCAAGGCGCTTCAACTGCACTATATAAATTCAGAGTATTATGATAATATTAAAGATGCACAAGAGAATATTAGACAATAAAGCTGTGTGAGCATAACAATCTGTAAGGAAACCATGATGATATATTCTACTCCTACTATCACTTTCTTGTTAAGGAATACCATTAAAAGCTTTCATTTGAATGGGATCTAAAAATTTCTGGCAACCTATTCTTAAGTGGCAGCTAAGCAAGAAGAATGCTGAGTTTAGAACCTGCTCAGGCAGGGGGCTGTGGCTCAGTGGAAGAGCCTCTGCTTGGTATGTAGAAAGTCCTAGGTTCAATCCCTGGCACTTCCAGGTAAAAGGATCAGAAAGTAGGTGATGTGAAAGACCTCTGCTGGAGACCCCGGAGAGCTGCTGCCAGTGTGACTAGATGATGCTGACCTTGATGGATTGGTAGTGTTATTCGATATAAGGCAACTTTATGTGTGGCCATGTGTGCTCCTTTGTTTTGGTACTGTTCTAGAGCAAAATCTCAGTCTTAAACTTCTTGCAGGCGGATGAGAAGAGGACAAGCCTAGCCTCTAGCATTGCCATTTCTGTTCTCATTGGCTAGGCTCAGTGTTCCCTCTAGGCAAAGGAGATGGCTAGCATGGGAGTAATCCAGATATTCTGTCTAGATGAAATGGTGGCCTTTCTCATGTCCAACTAAGCTATCCGTTTTTGCTTGCACAGAGCTCAGGAGCTGCACCTTGCACTCTCTCCCAAGCAAAATTGGCAGCCTGAGCCTTTTGATTTTTGTTTCAAGACAGAAGAACAACTCATTATGACTGAATAGGGGATGAAGATAGTCATAGGGTTTGTTTTTTCAAAAAATGGGAATGAACTAGGCAAAGTAGTCATCAACTGAACAAACTCTAAAATTATCTTATAGATATGGATGCTAACAGGTGATAAATTGGAGACTGCCACTTGTATTGCAAAAAGTTCTCACTTGGTATCCAGAACACAAGATATTCATGTTTTCAGACCTGTAAGTATAGCTACAAAAAGTTGGGAGGGTTGGATTTTTGGTATTAGTATTGCTGATGCTGCAAAACAGCGATCATTTGTTTAATGTCCATTTGATAGGTATACTAAAAGAGTTTGATGTCATTGTGGTGAAACATAGTCACTGATCTAGAACATGGTTCTCTGAAGGAAAGAAAAGCTCAACATGTAGAACAGAGGATGGCAAAAGAAATGAAGAAGTTGTGGGGAAATGCAGCTGGTTTGGCCTGCCGTTCTCTGTCTAGGTGACCCAGCAATGAGAAAGGGGAAGTTGTTGCAGGGCAGAGGAAGAATGTGCGGCTGATAAGGCAGCTCTCTGTCCCAAATAACATAAATTCCCCAGCGGCCTGGAAAAAACAGGAATTCAGTTATGGCCAAATGTACTTGTTTGTCCATATAAATATACTCAGCAGTTTCGCTTTCAGCTTTTGAATCTTTCCTTTTTAATTAAGGTAACCAGTCGTGGAGAGGCTCACTTGGAACTGAATGCGTTCAGAAGAAAACATGACTGTGCTTTGGTCATATCTGGAGACTCTCTGGAGGTAAGGGCCTGCCCTTTGTCAGTTTTCAGTGCAGTTAATTTTTATTATTATTACTTGAAAATAGACTTGCTCCTGTAACAACCCAGAGGGGACTTCAGCGACATCTCTGACTGAAAACATTCTGCCGCTTGTCTTAGACTGTGGAGCATCTGATACTATACGTTTAACCAGATCGAGGAGCCAGGGCCACAGTGCGCCATAACGTCTGTCCTAAAGACACCAGTTTACTTTTCTCATACTAAAAATAAGAGGAAGTTTCTTGGAACGGTTGCAATGTTCCAACAGTTTTATAGTTTCTAAGGTCCGCCAACAGAAAGAGAACACCCTTTTGAGGATTGCAGCCTGCTGCACAGTTCTTCTGATAATACAAATCCTTGCTGGACAGCTACCAGTTGCAGTGTAAAGCAATGCTCATATATTGCGTGGGAACCCCTAAAGCAGCTTGGTAGTAGGGAGGTTTGAGAATTATTCTCTAAGGCTCAACTGCATTTGGTCTGTGGGGAAAATGTAACAGAGTACTGACCAGATGCTAGGATCTATATGTCCCCCCACCCTGCGAAGCTGGGTCAAAGATTACTGCTTGGGGACTGGCATTCAGAACAGCCTTTCTGGACAAAATGCACCAGACCTTCCAATTCTGGAGGAATGAGAGTTGTGGTTAGGGGCTACAAGTCACCACAGCTTGTTACCTAATATCATTTTTTTCCTTCCCTGAAATTGTAGGGGTAGGGATGCATAAACCTGTAGTGCTTTCTACTAAGCATGTTCAGTAAGAAGATTGCATTAAGGCTTACTGATAGATCCTGCTTTAGGGTTTTGAATTAATTCAGAATGTGAACATGTTCTCGTTTTCACACCCATTAATTGCATAAGTGGCAGAATGAAAGGGCAGAAGCTGGGAGTAAACTTATTTAAAAGAGTGTTGCATCCCAAATGACTCTGTTGAGGAATAAATAACCCGCATCATGTACTGGCTATGACCAGTGTTCCCTCTAAGCTGAGTTAGTGTGAGCTAGCTCACAGTTTTTTAGCCTCCGGCTCACACATTTTTGTCTCAGCTCAGGAAGGAGGGCTCCAGAGCAAACTAATTTATGCAGTGGCCAAATCACTTGCTCACAACTTTAATGCCAGTAGCTCACAAAGCAGAATTTTTGCTCACGAGACTCCACAGCTTAGAGGGAACATTGGCTATGACCTGTCAATGCTGTTTTTGTGACACTCACATATTTGTAAAATCTTCTAGCCATGACCTCTCAAGGATTTTTTCCTTACTGCAAGTCAATTTTTATTCAGATCAGCCCCTCTGAGCCACATGCTTTTGCAATGTACACAAGGGTGAGCAGGGTTATATACAATGTCCAGGCGTTATAGAAGAGACATGTGCATTTCTGATGGAGATGGAGTTGCTGCTTTCACCATAGTATCATAAACTGTTCCGTAAGAAACAAACCACTAGTCAAGCTTCACGGTAACTTCTCCCTCTCCAGCAGCAGTAGCTCCTGCAACAGAACCAGCTCTCTTCTACATGTTACCAATTCTGGTAACAGTCCATGACAAATAGTAACTCTAGATTTGTGGGCATAGTACACACAGTGATACTACTTTCAGCTAAGTGTTTGTCCCCATGTTGGACAAGCCAGAAATACTGCTGGAGTAATGGAATGCCAAGCAAATTGAATTTTTCTTTGTCTAGGTCTGTTTGAAGTACTATGAACATGAATTTGTAGAACTGGCATGTCAGTGTCCAGCTGTAGTATGCTGCCGATGTTCACCCACTCAAAAAGCCCACATTGTAAAACTATTACAGCACCACACTGGAAAACGTACGTGTGCAATAGGTAAGTATCAGCTCTAGTTTCACTCTTATTGGCACATTGATATTTAAAATACTAAAAAATAAATTTAATTGAAGTTAGAATGGCATGACAAGATGTATTTGTAATATGCTTTTAATAATGACTTAGATCTTAGGTGCCCTGTCTGCTTGTAATAGGCACTTCCACTCGAAGGGGGAGGGGTTAAGCTTTTACCCTCTCCCTTCACTGCTACCCACCACTTTAACTGTCCTGGTGTTCCTGAAGACACAATTTTAGGGGGGAACAGAAGACTGCAAGCAGACAGGAAGAGGTTGGGAAAGCCACTATCGATAAGCAAAGCTCCTCTTGCACTGTAAAGGATCCAAGCTAAATTTGGTGTAGTGGTTAAGTGTGCAGATTCTAATCTGGGAGAACCAGGTTTGATTCCCCACTCCTTCACATGCAGTTGCTAGGTGACCTTGGGTCAGCCACAATTCTCTCAGAGTTGTTCTCTCAAGGGCAGTTCTCTCAGCGCTCTCTCAGCCCCACCTACCTCACAGGGTGTCTGTTGTGGGGAGAGGAAGGTAAGGAGATTGTAAACCGCTCTGAGACTCCCAAGTGAAGGGTGGCCAATCTCCTCCTCCTCCTCCTCCTCCGCCGCCACCTCCTCCTCCTCTTCTTCTTCTTCTTCTTCTTCTTCTTCTTCTTCTTCTTCTTCTTCTTCTTCTTCTTGGTGTTAAAATTAAAACAGCTTTTTAAACTTTCTTTTCCCCAAAAAACGTCTACAAAAACAAATGGAAATGTAACAATTATACCTCACAGAGGAATCACTGGACAGCATGTGATGTTGTCCAGTACAGTTCTGCATTCTGGCATAATAAATTCCCTGTGCCACATGGGCAGAAGCAAGCAACCATTTTTCCTGAGTTATGTTTGTAATGATTCCTTTCTTTTGGATCTGCTGTTTCTTCCAAAATTGTAGAAGCATTGCCTTTGTAGTGTTTAATAAGTGGATCACCAGTTCTTTGTTTCATTGTAAATTCTTTAAAGTATCCTTTAAATATAGGAGACCAGAAACTAAAGAGAGAAGTATATAAAATTTATCTGAATTAATTCAAAAACTTAGACAACAAATCTACTTTTAACCTTAAAGTTAATTCCAGTTACTCATAAAAATAATTCAAAGTAACACAAAATTCTATTAATAAATGTTTAAAAGCTTACCAGAACAGTCTCAAATATGCTTTCACACATTTTCAGGTGATGGGGGAAATGATGTCAGTATGATCCAGGCAGCAGACTGTGGAATTGGAATTGAAGGGAAGGTATGACATTTGAAGACTGAATTGAATGTGAACTTAACAGTAATGTATTAGAATCCCTCTGTTGAAACGGTAAGGACTGATTGTGTGTATGTCTCAGTCATTGGAGTATTGTGATAAAAATAGCAAAAGTGTGTGTTATGTTTTTAAAAATCACTATTCTAAAGTTCAAACTTGGAGATGTCCATTGTTCATATGTTAATTGACTGTACAAGGTGGTCATAGCCAAGTGTATCTCCTCTATGCAGATCAAAAAATCTGCAAGGAGGGGGGCACACCGGAACTAAAGTAGGGTTTTTCATAAGTAGTTCTAAAATGGGGGCTAATCCCCCCTCACACCCAACATCTGTGCATGCACAGGTATCACAGAACAAAAACCTTTGAGGGGCATTTTGGGTGGCTGACAACAGAAAGAGGTGGGGGGACCAGGAAAGGGGCAGAGAAGGAGTAAAAGGCAAGATTGCAGGGCAGTGAGAGGTGAAGGAGCGGAGGGGGCTGGCCAGTGGGAGGTAGGAAGCAGGACCCAGAAAGAGAGCTGGAGATGGCAGGACAGGTGTGGTGAAGCTTCGGTGGCCAAGAGGGCGGGTAGGAAGAATAAGGGGAGAAAAGAAGTTTCCCTCCTGCTCAGTTTTTTGTTTGTTTTTTCTTGTATTGGTATAGTTTTCATAGTTGAACGTGTGGCTTTGTTTTCCATCCAGGAGGGAAAGCAAGCTTCCTTGGCAGCTGACTTTTCCATCACACAGTTCAAACACATTGGCAGGCTACTGATGGTACACGGTCGCAATAGTTACAAAAGATCGGCAGCACTTGGTCAGTTTGTCATGCACAGAGGCCTTATTATTTCAACTATGCAGGTATTTAATTCCTGTTACTTGGATGGAAAATAGTTTCTGGAAAATTTTGTTCTAATAATTCAAATAATTTCCAGATGCAGAAGATGAACTTCTGTAACAATTCTGATGATGTAATTAATTATGTTCTTTCTCCAGGCTGTGTTTTCTTCAGTCTTCTATTTTGCGTCTGTTCCTTTATACCAGGGGTTCCTAATGGTAGGGTAAGTAGGCGCTACAGTTCTTGAAAAAAATATTGCAACGTTATTTATTTTTTTAAGACAGTCATTATGACTGAAGTCCATTTATCCCTCAGATAGAGTTACCGAGCTGAATAGCAGCATTCCTTTGCTGTCCCCCAGCAGTTTTTCCCCTTTGGCCTCGTGGGCAATACTAATGTTACACGAAATTCACATGGGACAAAATTTACTCCCTGAAAGTCATGTTTGTGTATTAACGCCCATGAGCCTTTGGTTTGTTTATCACATGGGATGAAAACATGCATAAAGTTCACTGCACCAACAGGTGGCAGAAAGCCCTGACTGCCTTTGCCTTCCCTGCTGGCAGTCAAGGTCTCCTAGGTATCCAGGGGGCAGAACAATTGCAGATGCCCAGGATCAAATCGTATTTAATTGTCAAAAAAGAAGAAAAAACTGCCCAGAATTGTACCTTGCACAAAAGTCACGATTTTACTGGAGGAGGGAGAGAGTTTATAGTGTGAAGGTATGAATTAAAATAACAACTTTCCCCCCTAAGGTATGCAACCATATACACTATGTTTCCAGTCTTCTCCTTAGTGCTGGATCAAGATGTTAAACCAGAAATGGCATTGCTGTACCCTGAACTTTACAAAGACCTTACTAAGGTAAAAGCATTTGAAATGGATATGGATATAATTCTGTACATGCAGTATTGTTTTTCTCTGTATGGAGCCCAGAAGGGTACGGGCAGAGCAGATGCCTTGAAGATCATAATGCTTGAAACTTGCTGCTATTTCCGCAGAAAACTGTTGTTGTTGTTCACCTTCCCTTTCAGAGAAATTAGTTCACTAGATTAAAGGTACAGCTGTGCCTAGTGTGCCTGCTAAAATATCTGTTCTCAGTGTACACAGGGCTCTCCGAATTACATGCCTTCACTTTTATTGAACCAACCTCAAAATTTGCTTAAAATTCCAACCTTTTACACTTAGCAAAATTTGCCACAGTTCAGAACTCTGTAAGATTTCAGCTGCGCCTACAACAGCTGTCATTCTGTGTGGGGAAATGTGCCACAGTGGGAAGTCATGGCACGTGGATACAATCCAGCATACAGTCCAATGTGTTGATTTAAAAGGAAGAGTGAAATATGTGGATGTAGATTAGATTATGGCTACTGTCAGTAATCAGAAAGCAAAAGCTCCCTGCTAAAAATGACTAGAGGTAATTTTCCCCCCAGATGCAATTGTTGTTACTTTAAAACCTGACTAATAATGATGCCATTCATTAACTTCTAAATTCGAAACTCCCCACACACACACACACTACATTTAAAGTAAATGTTTTAGGGTTCAGTGGCAGTGCTATTTTCTAACAACCAAAAATGGCTCCAGACTTGTAACTGTTCTCCCCTCATTGTAATTCTTCTCTCAATAAAATCCAACGGCACTGGGCCTTAAAATATGGCTCTAGCAAATAGATCTGTGAGAGCACAGATTTTTATTGTGTCTCCCTGAGTTTTGAAGCCATTGTATGGGTTGGATCCTGCCAGCTTTTCAACGGGTGCAAAGTCCAGCAGGACCTCTTTTTTACCCTTAAGAAAGCTTCACTGAGGACTATGGGAACTTCATGGACAAAAAGCCATGTAGGATGGAGCTGGGGGGGGGGTGGATCGGGCAAGAATGTCCCTCCTCACACCATCGGAAATGTCTTGCTTACTGAATGTATAAAATAAAATATTTTGCTTTTCCATGTGTTGCTCTTTATTTAAATAAGAGATATGTATCTGTTATTAAAGTTATTAAATTGTGTTAATATAAAAATCACTTCTTAAGCAGCATGCTAACTTGCTTGTCTTTGTTGTTTCCTCTAGGGAAGATCTTTGTCATTTAAGACATTCCTCATCTGGGTTTTAATCAGTATTTATCAAGGTAGGAGATCTCTCTGATTTTTCAGACTTAAATAATTTCTGACCACTAAGCATACTGTTTCAGCTTCAAAATTAAATTTATTGAAATTATTTATTTTAAATTCCCAAAACTTAAAATTTCATGCATTTTGTGTTTCTTTTTGTGTTTTATAAATTTAACATTCAAGCTATGTTGGACTTCCCCCCCCTCCAGTGCATCATGGATTGATTTTTGTTTTGTGCTGAAAATTAATACTTACATACCTATATACGATTTCCCAAGTGTGCCCCCTATTTGCGGAGACCTAAAACTGTGGATTGGGGCCACGCTTACCCAAAACAGGTTTTTCTGCAAACTCGGGTGACCTCCCACGTTTGCAGAAAAATCTGAAATATTTTTTTATAAATGGAGATTAATTCCCCCAGCAGTAAAATAGCATTCTCTGTGCAAGCTCAAAGAATGCACCTGCCTCTGCCAGTCGACTGAAGAGCCCTGGAGCAGTTCGAGAGCCGTGCTGGGGCCCGCAAGAAAGTAGAGGGGAGGGAATTCCCCACCACGAATCTCAGAGGCCAACTTCAGGCAATGTTACTCCTAGCATTGCCGCTCCTGCCCCTGAGCCCAGCACAGCTCTTTTCTGTGTGGCCGGAGACACAGAAAGAGACTGGCCTTTGTAATGGGGAATGAGGGGGAGACAGCCAGGCAGACCACTGACGATGGGTTGGGTGGCTGGGGGTAAGAGTAGCAAAGGTGGGGGTAGAGCAGCAAGGATGGAGATGCAATGGAGGAGAAGGGGGGAAAGGAAATGCAAGGGGATGTGGCGCCAAGGATGGGGAGTTATTTGATTAGGCAGAGCAGTGAGGGTAGGGTGTGATGGGCAAGTGAAGGCAGCAATGAGGGTAGGTGGGTGGATGGGTAGGCAAAGCAGCAAGGATGGATATGGGATGGGGGAGAGGAGAAGAAGGAAAGGCAGAGGGGATGGGATGATTCCTCCCCACAAGTTCCTTGCGGGTTTCTACTTATAAAGCATATTAGCTTTTCTTTATAGAATTATAGAAGTACGCTTTAAAAACTCTGAATTATAACATTAGTTAAAAGCATTATTCACACTTTTTTTAGGATTGTTACAGAGCAAATCAGAGTGCGTCAAAAATCTAATTAACAATTGCACCTGGAAGAAATGCAAGCTGCTGAAATGTATTTAATTGTTGACCAGCTGACTTTAGCAGCAACCTTTACAGCAAGGACATTTAGACCAGCGGGGAAATTCTCAATGTACCAGTAGCCTGGGGGGTGCAACCGCTACCCTGACCACAGGGTGGCCCAGCATGGGGTGGGAAGGCGCCACTGGCCCTACAAGTTGGTGGCCTTTCCCTTGCATCAGGAGAGCAGGAGTTGCTGCTGCTGCCAATACCGGTGCCAGCGCCCACCTCCCTGTAGCCAACACCGTACACAAAGTACTCTGGAGCCACTGCTGCTGTGACATGTGTAGGACCAACCACAGAGTGGTAACACCCACCTCACAAGAGCCGGTGGACCCTGTTTGCATAAGATGTGGGGGAGCTGCAGCCCTCGCCACAACCAAAAGGGAAAGGGTGCTTGGAAAGTGGGCGGGAACCACAGTGAACCTGTTCCTTCCTTCCCTTCTCCCTCTATCAGGGCCATTCTTTTTTCTCCTTCCCTCTCCCTTCCCAGGGGAAGCGGGGCCATTTTTGCTTCCCAGCCCACCATTGCTTTTCAACATCCAGCAGTGTTATTTTCAAGAAATGAATTATTAAAAGCTGCTCTCAGAATAAGAGAACATTTCTAGAAGGCACAGTTCTAAGGAAGTATTTTATGGAACACGGTTGTACAATGAATCTATGATGTTTTATATGCCCTTCTCAGGTGGCATTTTGATGTATGGAGCTCTCCTGCTTTTTGAATCTGAGTTTGTCCATGTTGTTGCCATTTCCTTCACTGCTCTTATCCTGACTGAGCTCTTGATGGTTGCACTTACTATACGAACATGGCACTGGTTAATGGTGGTGGCTGAATTCTTCAGTCTTGGCTGCTATGTGGCCTCTCTTGCATTTCTGAATGAATATTTTGGTGAGTAGCAATCACTGGTGTAACTTGTACTTTGCTCACAGCCTCCACTGTATTGTTATGAGTCATCGTATCATGAAGTTATTCATCGTTAACAAAAATGGTCAGGGCAGTATTAAATTTTGTCTAGGCTGTATTCCGCTGTATACTTTTAGCTGAGGTATTGAGTGATTACTGTGTGTTACGCAGAACAGCTTGTTACAATGAAATGACCTTTTTTTGCACATAAGCATCAAACCTTATTCCAAGGGCTTACATGCATCCTTTAGGATACAACTCCTACACGAAGTATCCAAATTCAAAACCATGTGGGGCACACAGGGCTAATCATGTGCTTCTCTATAACACGACCTGACTTAAGTTCGCTTTTTAGTTTTAATGTTTCACTTTTAGAATATGTTTCAGAATTTGGGGGGGGGGTTTGCATATTAACTCTCTAGGAGAGTAGTATTCAAATACTAACTCATTTCAAACCTTTCAGAGCTTTCTAACACATTCCTTTTAGTATATTGCATCTCTTCCTTTTCCCTTGTTTTTTCTATAAATCTGTCCTTTCTTCTTCTGTCGGAGCAGGTATAGGCAGAGTGTCTTTTGGAGCTTTCTTAGGTAGGTATAATTGCTGTTCCCTAAATAAGGTGCATCACAGAGCACCAACACAAAATAATTATTATTCTGGCACTGGTAGAAAAAACCAAAGAGCCCATTTTATACTCCACTGATTATAAATACCTGGTTTGTCAACTGCATTAAATATTTTTAATTAGAAAGATTAATGTTTTCAATTTTTTAAGTTTACATATTTCATATTCTCAAAAAAGTGTGCTTTCTGAGAATCCTGGTCAGCTACAACTGAAGATCTGCCATTGATTAAAAGGGGGCGGGGGGGGAGAGATGTCATTCACTGTTAGAAAGAGAGGCTATATAAGAAACATACTACATATTTGGGGGTGGTATTATAAATTAGGATGAAAATATCTTAAATACGGAGATCCTGTCAATGTTGGGCAAATTGAGGCTGGAAAGATATATTTAAATTGAGAGTTCAACTGAACGTTATATTTTTTTGCTGCTGAAGCCCTACAAACGTCAGCTTTGGATGCAGACTGATGAAAAGGCACCTCTGTAGCGTCTTGATTATACAGCTTGGCAGAGGATGGAG